TGCAGCCCTTAAGTGGCTGATGCAATTTAAGAACCCGGAGGGTCAAATTGCCAGATGGATTATAGATTGACTTCAAGATTAAACATCAAGCCGAAATAAGTCACAGAAATGCCGATTCTCTGTCTAGAAGAATGTGTCCAGCAGAGTGTTCCCACTGCAACAAAGCAAAATCCAAAGAAAGTGGACGACTACTAAGAACAACTGTAGTCAAGGATGAGCGGGCCCCTGCTAAAATAGGGAAGAACAAGCGAACGATACCGTTCTAAAGAAGATGCGATAATGGAAAGACGAAAATCGTCGACCTACTTGGCAAAAAGTATCTAATCTCCCTCCAGTATTTAAGTTATATTTAGCTCAGTGGGACTTTTTTATACTGGAGGAACTAAACCGAGTGCTTGAAAATGATGTTGGCTCCTAGAATAGAAGACAGTTTGTCATTCCAACGAGTAGAGTAGCCGAAGTAATTCGTTAGTTACACGACAGTCCATCGGAAGGACATGTCGGTGTTAGAAAAACCCTTCAGAGAGTTTGGGAAAAGATTTACTGGATAAACAGTTCCGATGATGTAAAGGACTGGTGTAAGAAATGTACTACCTGTGCTATCAATAGTGGACCTCAACGAAAAAGGAAGGCTCCCATGAAGCAATACAACGTTGGTAGCCCATTTAAAAGGATCGCCTTAGATATTGCTGGACCATTACCTGCGACCGAGTATGGTAATAAATACATTTTGGTGGTTATGGACTATTTTACAAAGTGGGCGGAAGTCTATTCCATTCCAAATCAAGAGGCCGCAACTGTTGCAGATGTGTTAAAAAAAGAGTTTGTCGAATTTAAAGTGCCCTTGGAGATCCACAGTGACCAAGGCAAAAATTTTAAAAGCCAACTCTTTCTTGGAATCTGTGACAGACTGGGTATGAAGAAAACCAGAACCACAGCATTGCATCCACAACCCGATGGAATGGTAGAGCGAATGAATAAGACCATTGGCAAATATCTGTCAGAAGTGGTTTTAAACCATTAGCGAGATTGGAATTAGTATATTTCGCTCTTTGCAATGGCTTATAGATCCGCTGTCAATGAATCAACAGGCCAAACACCAGCAAAGGTCTTGTTTGGGCGTAAGATGAGACTACCGTGCGACCTCGAGTTTCGATGCCGAGCTGGAGAAGATGTAGTTGGTGAAGATTATGTGATCGTTACGAAAAAGAATGGACGATATGCATAAATTAGTTCGCTCGCATCTTCAAATCGCCAGCGACAGAATGAAGAAGCGATACGATACCCGAGCTACAGAAGAATATTTCAAAGAAGGCGACAAAGTCTGGCTCCATAACCCAAAAAGACAAAAGGGTTATTCTCCGAAGCTTCAAAGGTCTTGGGAAGGTCCGTACCTCATCAAGAATAAAATTAATGATGTAATTTACCGTATAAGTAAGATCCCAAACAGTAAATTGAAGGTAGTACATCAAAACAGGCTGGTATTATTTGAGGGTGCCCATGAAGAAAAAGTAAACTAATTTCAAAAAAACACCTGATCTTGTCTTTAGAATTTATGGGTGCATATGGAGGTACTGGAAAAGCTAGATATGGTGTTACGACCGAGCAACAACAATATCTGCTCTCGCCTTTAAAAGACTACTCGCTGGTCTATAGTACTTCTGCCATCATCAACGACGTGCGAGGACTGGCATATGTTTTCCATGAGAAGTTTCGTCGACTGCTAGAACTTCAATGTCAGTTACCATGCCCCTAGCAAAGCCTTGAAACTTCAAAACTTATTATGACGTACGGGGAGCATTACTTAGTTTAAGGGAACACGTACTGCCGAAGATAGGAAGAAATCAGCTGTATTGGAGGATCATTAGGAACATGGTGGAGGTAATCTTTCAAGATACTGGAGTCCAAATACTGGTCTGCAGCCATTCGCCCAGTGTCCAAGTTACAGCAAGAACAGTTTCTTGTTACTTCCTTGCAACTGGAAATTGTAAAAGAGGGTTCAGTTGCAGATACAATCTTCCGTTCAGGTTTCGTAAGAGTTCTAGGAGAAACGATCTCTTAAGGAGGGGACTATGTAATGCGAGCCATTTCATTATTCAGTCATGATCTAATTCTCCACGTCTCTCTGTCTTATTTGGCATTTGAGGCCCAAGAAGCCAACCACACATTTGTGGACTGTGCTAACATTCCCAGTGATTACTAGGAAAATATTAGCGGCTATAACTGCCTCCGTGGCGATGCTAACACTTAGTTTTTATGACCTTTTTTGTGTTAGAAACTCACAACTGAACGTTTTGGTTTTTTTTAGAGGCGGTTTTACTTTGGAGGAGGCTTTGCAGCTGGTGTATGACACTGATACGGAGGTGGATAAGATTTATATTGAGCCTCCGGAAGGTGATATTAGCGACGAAGATTCTGGACAGGAGGACGGCGGAGGTCTGGTCGACAACCTGTCAAAAAATCAGCTAAGAGCTCCCGCAGAGGTGGTTGTCCCTATCGACAACAATGATCCAGAAGACGACAACAGTGATCCAAAGGATGACGCCAATACCGTGTTGGAGAATGTTGCCGAAAATATAAATGATTTCCACAAAATTGACCCAAACGTCTTGTAATGGACGCAGGGCGATATGGACGCTTGAGAGAAGCCACTCCCTCCGGGTAATTATGAAAACTTTAAATGTTTAACGCCTACCGAGATATTCGAATTATTTTTTGATGATGACCTCTTTAGATTCTTGGTTGCTGAGACAGAACGGTATGCTCAGCAAAAAAATATTTTTGAACGAAATCTTACACTTGGTGAAATAAAAACATTTTTTGCCATACTTATTTTATCCGAATATAATTCTTTGCCTGGAAAAAAAATTATTGGGATTCAGATAAAGATATGGGCAACATGTTAGTCAAAGATGCTATGCGCCGAGACAGATTTATTTCTATTTTTAGACATTTGAATTGCGCAAATAATAACGATTTAAATCCTGCTTATAAATTTTCAAAATTGCGACCACTCATGGATAAACTGAAGCAAAAATATATCTCTTACTTTGTGCCTGAACGTGATTTAAATTACGATGAATTTATGGTTAAATACTTTGGACGACACTCCTGCAAACAGTTTATCAGAGGAAAACCCATAAGATTTGGTTACAAACTATGGAGTGTCAATACAAAAAGTGGTTATATTTTTACCTTATCTGCATATCAAGGAACTGACCCGTTATGTTATGTTGAGAATGGGGTGTTATTACACTGCGACCTAAAAGATCTATTGTACCCCCTTCTGTCGCCACTGCACTAAGGAAATGTTTCAATGCCTATAGCGACCCTTCCAATCCTATTTTCTCAAAGAAGTGTAGGATTTGAAGTGGCTTCAAGTTAGGTAAATCTCCCTCTTCTATTTGATATCCTCCTAGATATAGTGCCCTTGGATTCTGGAGTACTACACATTCAGTTAGGATGTGAATGGTGGTTTCGTCCTCCTCCTCATAGAATCTGCACTCACTATCCTCTACTACTCTCAGTTTACTAAGGTGTCCTTTTAGTCGGCAACTGACCCGTACATGGATGCTAATTTTCCTCCAGTTTTTGGAAAGGCGGCATCTCCTTTTATTTCTATGTTGTTCGAATTACCAGAAGAGCTATTGATAAAGAAAATGGCATCATGTTGGTAAGGTGGGTGGACAATAATATAGTGACGGTGACATCTACATCTTATGGAATTACCCCCAAAAATAACATAAAGCGGTTTTCTTAGACAGAAAAAAAATTTTGTGCAGATAGGAAGATCTCGTGTCATCGCAAGATATAATGCTTCTATGGGCGGTACCGACCTAATGGATTAGAATATATCCAGGTATCGCATAGATTTACGTGGCAAGAAGTGGGTGGTGTTTGTTCACTTGGCTCGTAGACGCTACTATACAGAATAGCTGGTTTTTATTCAAAAAAGCAGGAAACAGTCTTATGCAGCTTTAATTTAGAAGAGAAATTGTAAAAACCTATTTAGAAAGAGCGCGAAATCCTCCAAAACCAAGAGGCCGTCCACGTATAAGCAACTCCAGCAGGTTCTTTTGCAGAGTATCAGATGACATTAGGTTCGATAATACTGAACATTTGCTTACAGCTATTCTAGATGGAAAGATGCAACGTTGTGCGGGAGAAAATTGCAAGTCAATAATGCGTACTATGTGCATTAAGTGTAATGTAGATCTCTGTTTAAATTGTAATATTAATTTTCATAAAAAGCTTTAATCACTTTGTACTTTTTGTACTCTAAATAAATATTTTTTATTGCCAGTGACTTTTACTTGGGATATCTGAAACTTTGACCCTGTGAAGGACTAGAGTTGCCATGTGGCAACCTCAGTTTTACAGAAAACTAAAGTAACTAAATTTTTTTTATTGTTTTTTTTTTGGGTTATTGTTGGCATATTCAAGCAAACATACTAAATATTATTCATGTTTTAAAAACTAAAAAAACTCCGGACTTAAAGAGTTAACAACGTTGTATTTTATATATAGAGTGTGACTCAAACGTACCCATTTTATTGCATGCTAGAGAAAACTAATTCCCAGACATATGGCAACGTGTAAACAAACTTATCAACCGCTACGAGAGGGTCTAGCTATGTTGTCAATGTGACGCAAATTACGTATAAATTATTAAGTTTTATAGTGGTATTTATGTTTTATTTTTCCACATTCAAATAAGGCATCTAAAAAAGTATTGTAATTTACCTTTGAGGCAAATAATGGAATAATCTTAAGTATGATACATTATAGTGTTAAGTAACAATAATGTATTTTAAACATTTTTGCATAATTTTTATAATGCAAGAAATTCTTCTTTTGTTATATGGCAACTCTGTTAGTTATTTCTAAAATTTTCGCACTATCTATTATTTTGAAAACGTAGTATATTATCGTGATTGAGATGGAGTAGTGGTCTTATTTAAAGCTTATTTTAAGACTTTAATTAATATAGGAACACCTACCTCCTATTGAAAACAGAGTGAACTCTGTTATTGGTTTCACAACATCTATATATTCTTCATTACAACTTTGAAGTAAATCTTCTACTAAATTATCGGTTTCTTTATTAAAAATGTCGACAAATGGTTGCAAAATATTAAAGTGAAATGCCGGTGTCAAAAGTTTACGTCTTCTGTGCCATTTGTCACCTTAAATTAAAAAAAATATGTGTAATAATGAAAATGTATGGTTTAGCTATAAAAATAAGGTAGGTGTAGGTAGGAAGGTAGGTATAGTCAAAGAGTATTACAGAAATGAAATTGTTATACAAACCATTACTAGTTAATAATCCCGTTCCTAGCCATCCGTGCAAGAAAGAATAAATAAAACTTTTATTATTATGCATTGGATAGCCAAGGACCAACTGAAAATACATTAAAATAAGTAAGACAAACGTAGTAGTTAAAGCAATTGTTTTAGTCATACCTCAATATCTTCAGGACCTACTAGTGATACAAAATACGAATGAAAAGACCACAACTTGTAAATTGGATAGAATTCTTTGGATCTTTGACGATCTGATTCAAAAATTTCTTCTGCAAAAAAAAACGTAATTAATAATTATTGTAAAAAAAGCCTCCTAAAAAAAAGTTATACTTATTAGCCTTTTTCCTGGGAAGATTTAAAAAAGATCCGCTAGTGGCAGCACCGGTGGGGGGGTATATATGTTTCGAATTCTCTATTGACAACAACGTCAAACGTACGTTTTTTTATTATTATTAGAATAAATAAATATTGTGATAAATAAAATTAAAAAAAAACATACATTTATTTGTACAAGACATTTTATTAATTCAAATGGACCAACAATAGAAAACCCAAATCCATTGCCAGCGACAGTTTCAAAGGTTAGTAATTGTTTATTTAAAGAGGTTATATTTTATATCAGTCTACATATTATTATCATTATTGATAGTAAATAATGAACTTAAACTTCTTTTTAATTGTGTATGAAATATAAAAGACAGCAACGATGTATTGAAGAGGACTCAAGTACTGGAAAAAATAAATATCAAAAACTTATCTGTTCTACTGTTACTGATGTTGAATCACTACAAATTAGTTATAAAAATGCGTATAGTAATCAAGAATCCCAATTAAATAATGATTTAGCCTCTGATCTTGCACTTTTGCAACTTTCAATTTCGCTCCAGGTACATCATTTTCCGTTCATTTCCATTATAAATCTATACGTTTGACGTTGTTGTTAATAGAAAATTCAAAACATATGTACCCCCCCCTCCGGTGCTGCCCCTAGCGGATCTTTTTAAATCTTCCCAGGAAAAAGGCTAATTAAAAAAGAAAACGGGACATAAGTACCTACTTTTAAAGAATCATTTGAAGAATTATTTTTGTAAATCATAAATAAACTAGATTAAATAATATAATTTGACAAACTTTATTAACATTGCTAGATGGATGACATACTAATTCAGTGAGACCTGTAACTGAAACTATACAGACAACGCTGAAACAAATCACTTAAAATGGAATTTCATGAACATTTCTTGTTTAAAGGATATCAGTAAACCTATATCACTTAAAAAGTCAAAAGTATCCCAAACCAGCTGACGACATTTGTACATCAATATGTGGTCAACATTGAAGTCAGGATGTTTCGATTAATGTTGAGCTATTTTTAAAATTGTTTTTGACGCACTGTATTTTATTTACGTTGTTTAGTTTCTATCATTTTATGGAAAAAATGTGTTATTGGACCAAAGTAGTGCTGAAAGCTTAAACTTAAAGGGAAATCCAAAGCAACTTTGTTTAAAATGGACAGGAGAATCAACAGCTTTTAGAAGATGAATCAAAAAAGGTGTTTTATTTTGTAACTGGTAAATTATACTAGAGCCAAACAATTTGATTACCGACCAGCCAGAACCGTAACAAACCCTAGATGCAATAACAATTAAAGAAGCATTTCCCCACTTAAATCATTTACCTTTCAAATTATCCGCAAACGCAATCCCCAATTATTAATAGGTTAACATAACTGAGACTTAGCTTTACCACTTCGGGTAAAGGATGGCCTAGAAAATCAACCACTAGCTGCAAAATGCAGATTGGGTTGGACTGTTTTTTGCACTTTTCTCAACAAACCAAAATCAACTACAATACACATATCAAATTTGTGAATGTAGTACTGAAAATATCACAAATATAGAACTGTTTAATGCCGTAAATATTATTTTTCAATTAAAAGCCTAGAAGTTCAGAATATTAAATCGTCTATTTCCAAAAAACTTGATGAAGCTAACCAAATAAAAGAAAACTAGTGTGTTTTCTTTGAATTTGGTAACCAATATAAATTTGGGTTACTTTGAAAATATGACAGAGTGAAACTCCCTAATACTGCAGTGTTAATTCAAATGGCCATATCTATTTAATACTTAAACGTTAGAAAAATAGATCTTTCTGTTTTTTTCTGGGCCATCCCGGTTTTTCAAAAATGTGATGCATTTATTTAAAGAATGTGTTTTTGTGTTACAAAATGTAGCACAATATAAAGTAGAAAAAAATAGTACTTTTAAGAGATATGTCTTTTTCATCTAACATTTTTTACGCTTCCTCTATATTCAAGGAGGCGTAACTACATGATTTATTGAAATTATTTTTTTGTTGACAACTTTTTTAACCAAATAAACTTATTAATATAGATTTATAAAAAAAACTAAAAAATGTGATTTACATAATATTTATTTGAACTATAAAAATTATCAAATGGCATTTCACAACCTAAATATTTATAGTTTTTATAGTAATTCTGCATAAAAACGTAGATAAATTAAATTAATTTTGGGAAAGTCTTACAGTTTTTACAATTATTCGTCCTCAATTGATTCTTGATTGTATCTGAAATACTCGACCAGAATTTCAGCAGACTTTCTGGGATTATTGGACGTAGTCTTTTTATTATTGTTTTTACTTCCCTCGATAAGAAGGAAGTTTCCCCATTCCGTCGGTATGTCTGTCGTCGTCTGTCGCATTTCTGTCTGTCTGCCTGTTGGCACGATAGCCCAAAAACGGCTTTAGAGAAAAACTTCAAATTTTGTATACAAACATGGTTTGCTTCTGACACAAAACCAGTTATACTTCCGCCCAGTTATATACAGAGTAAGCAGTTTTAAAAAAATAATTTATATTTTAAAGTCAACGACAACAAATTCCAAAGTTTAAAAAATTAAAATGGTATTGAAAGGAACCGTACTTGAGCAAAAAAGGTCCCCCTTGAATAAAAATAATAAAAAGAGTCCTTTTAGTTTATGTAACTGGACAAAAGCAGACAATCATTATTGTTCAATAACGGTGAAAAAGGGTTTTCCCGATTTTCCTCTTGATCCGACTCGAACTCTCACTTCGTGTCTGCTCGATGTTCTTCGTCACGTTCGTAAAATGTAAGTTTTTGTGAATTCCCTGTTTTTACAATTTCTATGTCAAGGGAAGTTCTGAATAAAATATTTTACCAATATTTTTCTGTACGCGGCAGTAGCTGGAAATATCCTGAAAACAAAGTTAGGTAAAAAAGCCGCATCTATGAAAATCTTTGTAGTGCCAACCTCGAAGATAGCATCAACCTTCTACTATCAACACACTTCCCTGACTCGGTCATCACAGACGTGGCGGACTGGGCAGAGGAAGAATACAATCCATCTGTCTATGATTGGCAAACTGCCAAACACATTGTAGACGATGAAAAAATTAGATAGGCAATATCCAGCTTCTCTCCATTTAAATCGCCAGGACCTGATGGTATCTATCCAGCCCTACTTTAGTGGGGTCTGGAAGAACTGACACCGCACCTGGTGGATATATTTACATCCTCGTTGGTGAGGTATATCCCCAAAAATGGAGAGAGGTAAAAGTGGTATTTATACCCAAACCTGGAAGGATGGATTACACTGTCTCAAAAACATACCGACCAATTAGTCTGACATTGTTTTCCATGAAGACATTGGAAAGGCTATGCGAATGGTACATAAGGGATGCGGTGATTATAACAACATCACTACACCCAAACAACCAACATGCATACACCCCAGGCAAGTATATTGATTCAGCCCTTTACATAGTTGCTGTCCGGATAGAAAGATTGGATGTTTTCATAGACATAGAGGGTGATTTTGATAAAACCACCTTCCCAAAGATAATACACTCACTAACCAAGAGGAATGTTCCACAAATGGTTAGTGGGTTAATACATAACATGCTCTCAAAGCGAGCAGTAAACATAAGTGTAGAACATGTAAATATAAGAGGTTTGGTTGTCAGGGGATGTCCACAGAGAGGGGTGCTATCACCTCTACTGTGGAATATGGTACTCGACACCCTCATCAGCCGCCTCAATAATGACAGTCACACAATAGCATATGCAGATGACGTGGTCATTCTTAAAACAGGGAATTTTGAGAACATACTCTGCGAAAGAATGCAAGTAGCTCTACAAATTATCTAACAGTGGTGCAAGAAACATTCACTGTCTATCAATCCTAAGAAGACAAAAATGGTCCTTTTAACCAGGAAAAAGATGAAAATGGAATTAAAACCTTCAGAACTCTTAAACACAAAACTAAACTTTGCAACAGATGTGAAGTACCTAGGTCTCACCTTTGACAGCAAGTTAACATGGAACTCGCATTTAGAAAACAGAGTTAAAAGAGCATACATTGCTTATGAACAATGCCGCCAAAACATGGGGCGCACCTGCGGTTTCTACCCCAGAGTCGTCGCATGGACTAACACGGCTATCATAAGACCTATGCTAATATACAGTGCAGTTTTTTGGGTACTGAAAACCCAGAAATTAACAGCTATCCGTAAACAATATCAAATTTAAAAGACAGCATGTCTCAACATAACAGGAGCCATGAAAATAACTCCGACCAGAGCCATGGAAGTCATTCGTAGTCTCACTCCCGTTGATATTTACATCAAGGAGGTTGCTCTGACGACAGTGACATGCCTCCGCACGATTGGAATAGAACCTAATGTAGGATCTGGTGAGGCGAGACGTCGCTTTTGGCAGGAAGTGCTCGATACGCTCCCACTGTTTCAAGCTAACATGGACTCCATCTTACCGAGATATATCTTTCATAAGCCATATAAAGTTATAGTAGAACAAATATAAGAGCCCGAAGAGGCAGGTACGATTCATATCTACACCGACCGTTCTAAAACAAAACAAGGCTCAGGATGTAAAATATCCTCTAGATTCTTAAAACTAAACATAAAATGGCTTGTGAGCAATAGTGCCAGTGTAATTCAAACAGAGCTAACGGGGATTCTTATAGCAGCAAAAGAAATAACTAGAAACAATTTCACTGGAAGTAGCAGACAAGCACTACTCACCCAGAATAGACCACGAATTTACTCAGGGTTAGTACCAGAATGTCAGGAAGCTTTGACCGAAGTATCCATCAACAATGTGGTCACCTTAAGATGGTTCAAAGGTCACGCCACATTGAAAGGTAACCGTATTGCTGATTCAGTAACCAAGAAAGCAGCCAACCAAATAATTTTTGGACCTGGCCCTACTATTGGCCTGATAAAATCGGTAGTGACAGACCTAATCAAAGAAAATTCCAATGTGAAATTTAAG